GGCACTACTGGTGTCATGTATCCTTTAGGCAAACAGTTAGCTCTTCAGGAGTTGTTGATATATTTTGTACTATCAAATATTTCTCATACACTTCTGGTATCATGAGAGAAAATCACAATCAAATAAATAATGTAAAACAATTGTTTAAGCACAAGAAAACTCTTCTTCATAATATGTTCCTACTTCAGGAGGCAATTTCAACTGTGTTACTTCTTCAGGAGCAAATTTAAAATACGAAATATTGAGTATATATTCTCTCAATTATATTAACTCTTCTGGAGGTGAATTGTAATGTATTCACATCAAGAGCGCGTTCATATTTACCCGACTTATTAGTATTGTCACATTCACTTCAGGGAATGGATTAATATTATCAAAAGTTCTCATCCTTCAGGAAATCGAACATAATTATCTGAATGCGCATTAATCACATCAAATTGTGATGCCTCAACCTCTTTTAAAATATTTACTACTTCAGGAGCAAATCGAGGCGTGCATTTAATATAGAGAATATTTATGTAGCTTATCTTCAATTGTAACCATAGAAAGCCTAAATTATCACTTCTGGTGATCATAGGCATATACCACTTCTGGTAGTTAACAAAATATAATTACAATGAGATATACGAAATATAACCACTTCTTGTGGTTGTATATTTCTTGCAAACTCTGCTAGAGTTTAAGTTGATCTAATAATGTTATCCATATTCTTCAAAATGACATAAACAAGATATATTATAGTAAACATCATTATCAAATCATAATTTTTCTTTATGTACAACAATTACATAACCATACTATCTATTACAAATAACAAAAATTAAAATATTTACATTTCTACAGATTCACCACCGATTACATGACTTGTTTCTCCTTCTGGGAGTGCAAGGTAATCAGTTACATCCAAATGCATGAAGTCTAAATTATCTTCAGAAATAAAATTTGCTTCAGCATTTTTCTCTGTCTTCTTTAGGGAGGCTTGATAAAGCTCAACCAGGTGCTTTGGCGTACGACAGGTACGTGACCAGTGCCCTTTTTCTCCACATCTATAGCATGCATTTTCTGCATTTGGTGTTTGCACCGCTTCATGCTTTTGTTCCTTCCTTTTCCACTGCTGGTGTTGAGGAGTGTTATTTGGTGCATTATTATTACTATGATTAGAGTTTCTTTCTCGACCACGACTGGGGCCACGACCTTTTCCACGTTTAGCCTGGTGGAAGTTTGTCTCATTCACTTCAGGGAATGGACAAGAACCAGTAGGTCGGCTTTCATGATTTTTCATTAATAGCCCATTATGTTGCTTGGCTATAAGAAGATGTGAGATAAGTTCAGAATACTTTTTAAATCTCATCTCTCGATGTTGCTGTTGCAGGAGCATATTCGAGGCATGAAAAGTGGTGAAAGTTTTCTCCAACATATCATGATTAGTAATATTATCACCACATAACTTCAATTGGGAAATAATTCTGAACATAGCAGAATTATACTCACTGATAGATTTAAAATCTTGTAGCCTTAGATGATTCCAATCATATCGTGCTTGTGGAAGCACGACCATCCTCAGGTGGTCATATCTATCTTTCAAATTATTCCACAGTATGACTGGATCTTTAACAGTAAGATATTCCATTTTCAGGCCCTCATCAAGGTGATGGCGTAGGAATATCATTGCTTTGGCACGGTCTTGGTTTGATGCCTGATTTTTGTCTTTGATGGTGTCTGCCAGACCCATCGCATCAAGATGAATTTCAGCATCAAGCACCCAAGACATGTAGCTTTTGCCCGATATATCCAGGGCTACAAATTCAAGTTTAGAAAGATTTGACATTATTTAGGAAAAGAAAGTTCTTACCTCAGATACTTTCAAAATATTTGCTCGAGATGCCAGAGTTTCGTGCTGATAACATGTTATAAAATAAAGGCTATAAAGTAAAGACAAGTATAGAGAGAAACTGATATATTATTCGAATTCAAACTGATGTACATAATGAACTGAAATCTCTTGTATTTATAGAAGAAAGGAAGTTGTTGTGTAAGCTGCTACGCAAGCTACTGTGTAAGCTGCTACTACAAGCTGCTGTGTAAGTTGCTATTACAAGTTGCTGTGTAAGCTGCTACTACAAGTTGTTGTGTAAGCTGCTACGCAAGCTGCTGTGTAAGCTACTACTACAAGTTGTTGTGTAAGCTGATACTATACCAGATATGGATAATCTTCTACTGAGAGCAATGTTTATCCATAACGGAGTACTGAATGGATAAGCTTATTATACTCGGTATGGATAATCTTCTACTTAGGGTAATGTTTATCCATAACCGGTACCGACAGAAGCTTATTTCCAATAGAGTACTAAATAGATAAATATATTTACGGTGGAGTCACATATGGATAAGCTTCTTCAGGAAAATTATTTACAATGGAGTACTAAATGAACATCCATAATATAATATATTTATAACAAGGACTAAAATTTATCAATATAAACTTACCTGTAAAAGTAATTTTAGCCAAATGAAGGGAGTACATAGAAATAAAATTTGGTTTTTACGTGTGATATGATGGTCCCGCCGTCTTAAGTCTCTAAACATTCTGAAGTGGCAATTTACTAACGTGCACGATCATATTACATTTCTCTATGTAATTAAAAGGACGTCAGATGCAATTTTGTTGATCTTTAAAAAACTCAATCGGATGCGACATTTTTACCAAATTCCCGAACAGGAAAACCCTAATATCTGTGAAGAACGAATAATAAAACCAGTGAGGTATGTCGTACGACGATGTGGAGATTGAGTACATGGAGTGGAACAACGAGCTCCAAGCTTTCACATATCCTTGTCCATGCGGCGACCTGTTCCAAATCACAAAGGAAGATCTGAAGCTAGGCGAAGAGATCGCTCGTTGCCCTAGTTGTTCCCTTTATATCACCGTTATCTATAATATGGAAGATTTTATCGGAGATTCCAAGAAACACGTTGAGCCTCAAATCGCTTGAGAACCTCAAAGTTTCCTTTTTTTGTCCAATTGAAGATTTTGGTATCATATTGTAATACATAGTGATTCCAACGGGCTTAACTGCCTGAAATTTTGATGTGTTCGGGAAGAAGGATTACTGGTGTTTGTTTGAAGTTTGTCTACTCTATGGATTATCAATTTTATTGGGATTGCATTAAATTATACGTAAATACGTACTATTTTTCTGCTATTTGATTGCTTGTGCAGAGTTTAATACTTATGTTGAATCTGTTCATCTTGAGGTGCTGTAAATTCTTACTGTAGTATTTTGTTACCTGATGTCGTAAGTCGAAGCTGTAGCAATGGTAATTGTAATTGTGTTTTGCCAATCAATGTGGAGAGTACGAATTGGTAATATAATTGCCCACATCAGGCGTGTTTACACCTAACTGAATAATTAACCTTAAGAATTAACAAATTAAAGTGAAAATACATATCACTATTATAAGAGCAAGTGTGTTAACTGCTTGGAAAGTTTTATGTGAATTAACACATCAAAGTGAAAATACATACTATTGTTAGAGTATTTGTGTTAACTGCTTGGAAAGTTTTTTGTGCAACTTCTGAACTAATAACCAGGCTTTTGAACTATTTAATACAGGGACAATTTGCACCAGCTTCTGGACAGTCACAAGAATTTACCAGGTAATTAGTCAAATGGTTAAGCCTCTGGCTAAGTCATAGTTCTAATTGTTTGTTACCTACTATTCAATTCCTTTAATATCATGAAATCTATATAATCTTCGTGTCCATATGATAAACAAATGAAGCAAGCATACCCTGTTTGTTTTAAAGGAGTCACCTATGTATCTAAACATGACAGATTGACAGGTAATGAATCAAGTGATTAACACAAATTTGAAGCAGGTATTAAAATAAATCTCAAGACTGCCGGAATAGAACACTCCTTAAAACAAAGGGATAAACAGAGATACACCACTATATCTGATCATTACAGCACTAAGGATGACAATAGGGCGGGTGAGGGAGTCTGTGGGGCGAGACGGGTTCAAATTTTTTTTATTTGAAAAAATCACGCGGGGCAGAGCGACGCGGTTTATTTTTTTGACAAAAACTTAAAGATCTAAAACGCTAAGGGCCCTTCTTCTAAGCTAAAATTAAACCATTATGCAACTGTAATAAGAAAAATGTGAAATTTGAAATTGATTGTCCACAACACAATTATAATTGAAAAAACTTAGAAGTGGTGATCGGTGAGAACCCGTGAATTATTGGTCAAACGAATTGAAAATATCATTTGATTTAATTTTATACTGCTTAGACAAATTTATAGTTATTACTGGAAACTCTGCCAAGAAAGCATTACGTTGCATTTGATCCAATATTTCCATAGGATGCCATGTATTCTACACTTTTGAATCTCGTAAACAGAGAAAAAAAATCTTTTTCTTTGATTTTGCTCTCATTCATGCTACATGTAACATGATTTAGTTAGATATTTTGTAGCATCAACCATGAGTTCAATAATTGGTAGCGGAAAGTCATCTTTCGGACATGCCTTGTTTGGGTCTCGAAAGTCAACACAAACACGTATTTGACCATTTTTTCTTCTTGACATGTACAATATTCAATATACATGATGGGTACTTCACCTCTCGAATAAATCTCGTCTCGATGATCTTGTTGACTTCGACTTTAATTTGTGGTACTAACTCGGGTCGAAACATGTGTTGTGACTGCTTCACAGGGCGTGCTCCACTTTTGATCCCAGATGATGAACGACTACCTTAGGACTAAGACCAGGCATTTCTTTATACGACCAAGCAAAGACATCTTTGTACTCGGTCAATAACTTGGAGTATTCCTCCTCCTCTTGAGACGTAAGAAGCACACTAATGAAGGTGGGGCGTGTATCTTCCAGAGTGCCTAAATTGAGTTCCTTAAGCTCATCTACAGTTAATTTCCTACCATCTTCTAGTTGAGGGGGAGTCTTGTGTACTTCATCATCAATGTCAAGGCATGGGTTATCTTCCACAGTTATGTGATAGGATGTTTTCACAAAGTTTGACTTTTCTCTTTGGCTTCCTTCGATGGTCGGCATGGCTTCTTTCTCTTTCTATGCTTCTTTATGAGGCTGGCAAGTGTAAACAATGGTTCTCCTTTGCACTTTCAGTGGACCATCTGTGGATATTGACAAAATAGAATTCCTCTTCATACGTGATGGAAAAGCACTACAAATTTCTTTGTCAACAACAACTTCAAAATGACCTCGCTCCTCATGTACTTGCTCCTTATGTTTTGACAGTATCTTTTCATATGGTGACTTCCTCACGGTTCTCAGGCAGCAAAAGACGGGGATGTTTCAGTTAGTGGAAACTTTCTTTAGATGTTTGGAAGATACACGTTCACCTTTGTGACTTAGCCTTTCAAATACCGAGACCCGAAGGATTGAGCCTCCAATGCGATCAAACAATGAAGTCCGTTGTTTTATTTTTTTGCCCTTAACTTCTTTCATCTCCTCTATTGAGGTGTGTTGTAATGAAGCTATCTCTTTGCTTCTCTTAGATGAAATTCAAAGAGGCTCTGCCAAACTGAATCCCAACCTAAACTTTGGAGCGGCGACGTAGTGCGCTTGCTTTCTCAACCTCATTTGGGACTCAGTAAGCCCATGTATCTTTTCACCAATGACTTCATCTTTGAGTTCTCCTAGTCTTGATGTGTTAGTTTATATGAGTCCACCAAATGATAGAGTACTTGGTCCTCTATGAGACTGATACGTAGAATGTAGTAAAGACTGAATTTAAAGAAGACAAGAGATTTTCTACGTGAAAAAATCCAACACAGGGGGATCGAAAAATCACGACCTACTCTTATAGGCTTTTAACTCTACTAACTTGTAATCTACCTATTACAAACCACTTTGCAAAGACTTCAAACTAACTTGTGATGCAACCACCACAAGTCACTCTATAACTCTCCTAGTTACAAAGGTTTTAACTTATGACTATCTCTAGTCACAACATAAACTCTGAAGTTTACGAATTTGGTTTGTTCCTAAGACAATGCTTCTGAGAAAGCAAACTAGGAATTACAATGATGAACAAATAACAAGATTACAACTCAACTATGGATGTACATAAAACTCGTTTAGAAACTGATCCTTCGTGGAGTTGTCTTCTTGTTCTTGACACACCAGTGACTTCAATGCCGGATGAATGCTTTTTCGTTTTGAGAGAATATCACTGAATGTACAAGTGATGGTGTGTCTTGCACCAGGTTGTTTTATCACAAAAAATATCACAATGGATAGTGATGTCAACTCTTGGTGTACTTCTTCCCAGTGAGAAGTGATTGTTGCACTGTCTGCATAGTTACTTCTTGGCAGTTGCGTTCCAGCTGGATAGTGGACTTTGTACTTTTGTCAGGACACACCAACAGACCAGGTCCTAGTTGTGTTCCCCTTCTGTAACAGTAGCTAGATGGTCACTTTCTTCTGCTACGTTCCAGCTGTGCACTTGACTTGTACTTCTGTCAGAGAACCCTAAAGGAGCAAGTCCCTGTTGTGTTTCTCTTTATATTGATTGCGTACAGTCACTAACTTGTGCTTTTGTCAGAGAAACCTAAGGGACCAGGGCATCGGGTCTCTGTTGTGTTCCTCCCTGTGGTCGTTCATCCATTCGCTGAGATGTGTATCATGTGGGACAAGGTTCTTCACGACAAGTTTGTTAGATCATCAAAACATAAGAAACATACGGTTAAAACATCTAAAACCCATCAATTTCCCCCTTTTTAATGATGATAAACTTAGGCATGGACAATATTTGTTTAGAGCAGAAGTAATCAGATGAGATGCCAGAACTACACGAAGTTCCCCCTTAATCGCGGACTTGATTTTTTCTTAACCACATACACAAGTATATTCATATTCCCACTCACTCTCACCTACACAAGCATTCTCACCTACCTCTAACAAACCTTCCCCTTTTGGCATCATTAAAAAGAAGAGCTATTAAGAAGAGCACAGGTAGGTAATAAGCATAAAGAAGTCTAACACAACTAGCTCATGCCACATATGTACACACAACATGACAGAAAATAGAAGCCAGAGGAGCACAGTATTGTACAAGCAAAGAAAGGGGAGCTATTTTATTAATGTTTACATTGGACTGAGTAAGTCAGGATCAGTAATGGTGTCGCGCCCCCTTTTTCTCGCGAAATCGGGTTTATTACATTTGGGAGACAACTCGTTCCCGTTCGGGAATTGAGTTTTGAATTGAAGAGTCGCCACCTAATGATTAAAGTGAATTAGGACACTAGGAGGGGTTTGTTTTGAGTAACCAGAGATTGGGTAAGGGCTTAAAATTATCCCAAGGGGAAGGTATTAGGCACCCCTCAGGATCCACTAGTGTGGTTCCCGGCCAAACTATTGTTATGACATAAGTGCAAATAACACATAGGCAAATAAAGGCTTCAAATAATAGGGGATTTTCACGTAATGATTACAAATAAACAAAAGTAAGAAAAGGGAACTAAAAAGAGTTGATTTTCTTAAAAGAAATGGTTTAAAAAAATTTAAAAGAAATAAAGAAAACAAAGGAAAGGGGGGCCCTGGGTTTATTTATACTATGGATCACCCCACACAATATCCGGCAATCACTCCTCAGTGAGGGGCTACACGTGATGTTATCGCGTGGTCATCATATCCATGTCTACCCTTTCCCACCCCGTTAAGGTATTAAAGCACAGAATGGTCTCGTTTACTTATTGGATGCTATTACCCGCCCCAATCATATCAGCCCCGGAGGCACTTGGGATTACTAATCCTAGAGGGAGGAGGTATTGGGCTTATTTGTGGTTTTAAAAGGTAAAACACTAAGACGACAAACAAAACAAGTTTGGGGAAGCATATAAACAAATAAAAGGGCTCAAACAGACCTCCTTTAAACCAAAGAAAGCACATAACGTAGCATGACTTGCATGTACTGTTTAGGGTCTGATTAAAACTTAAACGGTGGAGGTAGATTGATTTATTACATAGTTCAAATAAGAAGCCCGAATCAGGCCTGCCTGCTAGTTGTAGCTGATAAAAGTCTGATTTAGTTCATAAAAAAGCATACA